ACATTTAAGCAAAAAGTTGAAAATTAGGTGACGACAGCGGGTGCTTGTAAACCATTTCTGTGAAGATTGGGATAAAATAAAATAGAAAGTCGGTGTTGGACCTTTGAAAACCAACCAGCCTTGGTTATGGTTTAACCCACATCTACCTCCCTCCGTCTTAAAAAAACAGAAAGGCAGGCAAGGACATGTTGTTGACGATGTGGAAATTCCATTGTTAATGGTAATGAAAAAGTTAGATGTCGGAGGTTTTGATTTGACAACAAAATTGTTCGGCTGTGGATTTCCCCAAATAACTCTTTTTCGTTAGTCAAATATAAACAAGACCTTTAACAGATATATATGACCAAAACTAATTCCTTTTGCCTTCAATGACGTCTGTTTCTGATTTTTTATTGTTTTTTTTTCAGAATAATGGTGAGTGAATTTTATTAATAGAAATATTGAAATGAATTAAAATTACAAGAAAAGGAACAATAGTAAAAAATATTAAATTTAAATATACGAAAAAAGATAAATTTTTCTATTGAGAATGATAACCAACATCAAAATAATCCAGTCACATTCATAACAGTTCATTGTCTATCGAACAGAATTTTATAAAGTGATAAAGAAGTAATTATCAAATCAAACTATATGACAAGCTACTTCACTACATTATTTTGACAAACAATCTTTTACCAAATAGAGAATTTGACTATACTTGTTCACTAACAAATCAATCATAAAATATATATCGTGAGAGTCATTGCGCAAGCACCAAAACGACCTCAAAGGTATGTGAAAAATGTACCAAAAGCCATAAAAATAATATCACAAGAGCAAAGAAAAACGTGTCAAATTGACATAGATTATTATTCAAAATTAAAACACCACAAGAAAAGGGGAAAAATAAGAAAAAAATAAGAGAATTAATAATCACTAACGATTTGTAATTAATATTAAGATTAATATCGTCGTCAACTAAATAAAAATAAAAGAAAATAGGAAGACAACAAAAAAATATTAAGAGAAAACCTAAGTTAAAAAAATGAGAGCATATTTCTTCGATTTTATTATTGTAAGTTAATATTTGTTTAAGATTTTTTCAGTTATTGACACACATATATATACTACAAACGTAACTATTCAAATACAAATCTTTTAAAATATTATATTTTACTGAGATCCTTTAATGAATTCTATTATTATTGTTTAAGTTCAAATAACTTACGTTAGCTTTAACATATTCTTAAATTGTGTTCATGAAAAATAATTAGATTTATTGAGTTATTTTAGTGGTAAAAGGGAATATACTTTATCTTAAAATTTTAAGCTAAAATAAAAAAATAATGATAATTTTTGAATAGTCTAAAATAATATAAAAAATATATTCAAAACTCTTTTAATTAAATGACAATACATATTATAAATATAACTGTTAAAATCAACCGATATTACTTGATGAACTAAAAATTAATAGATAATTATGATTGGGGTGGATAGTGTTAATGTATGGTTTGACCAGTGAATTGGGAAAAATAAAACTCCATCTAACGGAAGCTGCCAAGAAATTACGACTCAGAACAGTAACGGGGTGTTAATTCCGTGTCGAAATCTAAAATAAAGAGAGAGGGGCTGTTTATCACTTTTCATATTCTATTCATATTCATTTACGCAATCAGCACGTGTCTCAACCGGCTTTCACCCTTAACTGCCGCGGTACTTTCTTACCTCCAACCCATCACTTTTTTAAAAATTGAATGTCCAAAACCAATAGGGTTAACCTTTAATAAAACAAAATCAAAATATTCACAGCTTTTAATTATTTTTATAAATATTTTTTATTAGTATAATCACATAATATACATCCTGTAAACTCAAAATTTATAATGAATATAACATAATATTTTACTAACGAGATCGTTTAATATAAATAGTTATCTATCCTAAGGATAATAATATATTTTTTAATTATTTTCTTTTCACAAATAAATCAAATAACAAGCTATATATATATTATTGTGGGGGTTAGAGTAGAGAGAGGGGGTGCTGAGCTTTTTAAAGGGACATGGTGGCAAAGCTAAAACCAAAGCTCCCTGGTTGTGGTCTGCAGAGAGAATCCAAAGGATAAGCAGGCGGCATGGCATTCAAAGAGACCACCTACTGATCGGGAAAACAAAAACCCAATAAACACACCACCACAACAACAAAAGAAAAATCAAAACAGAGGTTTTGATTTGTGTTATCCAATCAGTAAGTCTCTCACAAGATTATTGTTAATTCTTGTTATTTTTGTTGCTTATGCTTCTCATTAACTTCTTTCCTTTTTGTTTTTTGCTTTTTGTTCATTATTTTGTTGAAGTTTTTAATCATTTTGCTTCTTTCTCTAATGAGATTTAGTGAAACTATCAATAGAGACCCAATCCGCGTTTTCTTATTTGTCCTCTCTTCTTTTGAATCTAGCTGTTTTCCCCCACCGGTTCGTGTTCATGTTTATACTCTTTGAACTTCTGAGATCTGATACTTCCTTGTCTTCTGCTTGTTTGATCGTGAATTCTGTTTTTTTTTTCCTTCTGAAAAACTGCTTCTGATTTAAAAAAAAATAAACTTGGATCGTCTTTTTATTTAATTCGATTTTTTTTTGGTTTCAATTAGATTTAGTTTTTCTTAAAGTTTTGAATTTTCAATAATTGATGTTTTGGTTCTTGAATAGGTTGAATTGCTGGGCGCAAGCAACTTGCGGTTCCTACAGCGATTTGAAAATTTTTATTGTAATTATTTTGGGATATTCCCATTTGGAGTTGGGAGGGGAGCGATTGAGTGATGTTGGAGGATCGAGCCTGCGATTCGTGTTTCGTGTTGGCAAGCTCCTGCCAACAAGAAACCAGCTGGCCTTACACCTACAATGGGAAGCGTCCACTAGAAATGGCCGAATCTGATGATTGTTGTCCAGAAACCAAGTTGCCTAAGCATTCGTCTGATGATTCTTCCAGCGACAATGGTACGCAATATGATTCTTGTTCGGATTTGGATATGTTAATCCAACCAATTGGGAGAGACAACTCCATCAATTGTCTGATCAAGTGCTCAAGATCTGATTATGGTTCAATCGCATCTTTGAATAGGAGTTTTCGATCTGTAATTAGGAGCGGTGAGATCTATAAGTCAAGGAGGCAGAAGGGTGTTACCGAACATTGGGTTTACTTTTCTTGTGACCTCCTTCAATGGGAGGCATTTGATCCGATTCAGCGCAAGTGGATGCATTTGCCAAGGATGCCTCCCAATGATTGTTTTACTTATTCGGACAAGGAATCCTTGGCCGTGGGAACCGAGTTACTTGTATTTGGGAAGGAAGTTACTTCTCAAGTGATATATAGATATAGTATTTTGACTAACTCATGGACTTTTGGGACCAATATGAACTCTCCAAGGTGCTTGTTTGGGTCAGCTAGTCTAGGGGAGAGAGCAATTTTAGCCGGAGGTTGCGATTCTGAGGGTAATATCCTGAGCACTGCAGAAATGTACAATTCCGAGACCCAGACTTGGGAGACTCTCCCAAGCATGAATACCCCAAGGAAGATGTGCAGTGGGGTATTCATGGATAAGAAATTCTATGTAATTGGGGGAACTGGTGGACTGGGGAATGATGCAAGGGCTCTCTCTTGTGGGGAGGAGTATGATTTAGAGTTAAAAAAGTGGACTCGAATTCCTAACATGTCTCCTCGGAGGAGTGGGACGGATGGTGAGGCTGAGAAGCCTGCAGCAGCTGGGGCACCCCCTCTGGTTGCAGTTGTAAACAACGAACTTTATGCTGCTGATCATGCTGACATGGAAGTAAGGAAGTATGATAAGGAGAGAAAATCATGGTTGACTATTGGAAGATTGCCCGAAAGAACGGTTTCAATGAATGGTTGGGGTCTTGCATTCAGAGCATGCGGTGATCGCCTTATAGTGATTGGCGGTCCAACCACCTCAGGTGGAAGTTTTATAGAGCTCAATTCGTGGGTTCCGAGCAAAGGGCCTCCACAATGGGACTTACTAGCCAGAAAGCGATCGGGTAACTTTGTGTACAATTGTGCGGTAATGGGATGCTGAGAGATGGATTTTTCGGTGGTTAACATGGTTGGTTTCTCCTTTAGCACACACACAAGTCCGAATTCTTCCTGATGGTAATTCCCCCTGTTCCAATACATCATTTTTACGTCTTATCTCTTTTTACAGAACTTCATTCAACGTGTCTTCCATTCCATTTGTCTTCCCAAGTTGCACAGGAATAGGTTTAATAATTCTAAGTAGCAAAACACATTGGCATTAGGCCTGTAAATGAACCAAATGAACACGAAAGGGGTATGTTCATGTTCGTTCGTTTAATTTTAACCGAACAAATGAACGAACACAAACATAAATGAACAAAAATTTTATTGTTCATGTTCGTTCGTTAAGTAATGTAAATTGTTCGTGTTCATTCATGTTCATTCATTTAAATTATAAACAAACATAAATGCACAAATATAAACAAACGGATGTAAACGAAAATTAACGAACGTAGACGAACATAATAAATGAAGATAAACAAACGTAAACCAACATAAATGAAAATAATTTTTTTTCCTTCTTAACAATTTTATTATTATATTTTATTTAATTGTTTTGGGATTTTTTATTTTTATTTAAAATTAATTGGATTTTAAAATATTTATGGGTATCAGATTAAAATTTATTGAGTTGTAATATTTTAAATGATTCTAGAGAGATTGAGCTAAACATAAATGAACTCACATAAACGAACATAAACGAATGACCATAAACGAACGAACATAAATGAACGAACATATTATCGAACGTCACGAACGTAAATAAACGAACGAGCCATCTGTTCGTGTTCGTTCATTTAATTAAATAAACACAAAATCTTGTGCATGTTCGTTCGTTTAATAAATAAATGAACTTTTCGTCGAACGTTCGCTGTACGTTCGGTTCATTTACAGTCCTAATTGGCGTTAGAGTTTATGGATTTCATCCTTAAATTTTTCTTGGAATTGTGTTGAAATGGAGGGAAATAAGTAGTGGGAGGTTGTTTATCTGTTGGCTGATGTAGTAATTACACTTACAATCAATGGGCTTATATAAATTATATATTCCCAGAGTTTTTCATATAGTATTTTATGTTTATGCACACTTTTGGAATCCTGCATTTGCAGTGCTCTGCGAATTCATAAGTTGGTAGTTTGTATTTATTTTCACTTGTGGATTTATACATTTTGAGTTTACACATACAAAGAAGGAATACATCAAAAACAGTATTGCCTCATCAAGCAGAAGTGGGAAAAACGCAGTCTGGCGATGAACAGAGCATAATCACAATAAATATCGTGAAAATTACCAAACTTTAATGAGAGATGATGGTGAAATTTTAAGCCAAGAACAATACCTTAGGCTTATGTGGTCTAGAGTTAATTGGATCGTGTAAGGTGATGGAAACAAGCGTTTCTTTCCACCTCTCGATCGACGATATAGCAAAGGAGCTACCACAAAATTTATCACTTACAACAACACACAAGGGATGGATTCCGGGCTTACTCCAGCAATTTTCACTTGACTTAGACTACAGAAGAGAGCTTGGTGCTTGTGAAATTCGAAACACTTGCTTTGCTTGGGATTCACTCTCTTCCTCCAATTGGGGAAGGCTAGTGTTTGTGATGTTGAAATTGCTAAGGCCGTCTGGTCTTTCAATCCTTACAAGGATACCGGACTTGGGTTACCTCGAAAGTTAAGAAGAGAATTTGGATCTTGGCCTCTTGAGAAGCTAGGCTCCATCAAGTCATTAATTTGACCCTTGCTGCTTTGGTCCCAAAAGTTCAAGCCCACTACATGGTCTAAGATGGCAAAATAGTTACCGGAAGACGATGGTCGGAGTTTTTCCGGAGAAAGAACGAGAGAAAAAAATGACTCTAGGATGTAGGTATTTATATCTTAGGTTAACTGGATACCCCCTTCTTTCCCACAAAACACAAACCACCCACCAAATAAATAAATAAATTAAAAGCTCTTCTAACACAACAATATGCCACACAATTAACAAAAACGAATAAGGGCATAGACACATTTTTCTATCTTTTCACATTATCTTTTTCCGGTTATCACTGATAATGCCATTATATTGAGGAAATGATGATCAAAATCAACATGGAAAAGGCCTACAATGGGTTTCATAAGTAGAATTCTTTTTTGCTACTTTTCTAATAATGAGTTATGTTTCCATCTCGACTATGGCAGTCATATTTGTTTTTTTTTTTTGGATAATTAGATTTTATTACCCAAAAAGCAATGTCTGCTACAAAACAATCACCGATCACAATAAATATTTAAAACCTAATTACAAAAAAAAAAAAAAATCGGTTAATCAATTCCCCCAAGAAATACAGAGGTTGGAGTTAACATAATCAAGCCTATTTATATTTTTGTTGTTGAGGATTTCATCAGAAGTTCTGGAGTATCCTTTGAAGATTCTTCGGTTGCGTTCCTCCCACAAGACATAGATGCTTGCGCACCAAACAAGTTTAAGTATAGTAGAAATGAGAGATTTACCTTTCCATGTGTTACAAGCCCAAGTTACCATGTCCTCCCAAGATACGGTGGTCTTCTTTAGGCCGTTAAGGAGAAGGATTTTCTCTCTCAAATAAGAAGCAATGGAGCAATCAAAGAACAAGTGGTTTTGACTTTCCATCATTTCGTTACATAGAACACAAATTCCATTAGTAGTAATCCCCATGCGTATGCCATCCATACTATCAAGCTATGCTTAGGAATATGGTGAGGGAACCAAATCAGGAAGTGCCAAGGAACTTTATCTTCCTTCTTTCTAATCTCCTGTCAAATTTCTCTAATGGTGAGAACTCCACTCGAAAGGACAGGAAGTGCTTCCGTTTGAAGTTTCAGAATTCTGTTAAAGCTCCAACTTAGGCTAGCAGCTCCATCCATGTTCCAACTTAGTCATTTTTGTTTTGTATGGAGTACCTGGCTTGCAAAAAAGCTCTCTCAATAACTGACTGCAACACTTGGCACTAAATATCCAATATATCCTTGGAAGTTTTTAGCAGAGAATCGAACAAAAAGTGAATTAATTTGGACATATCTAGAATCTTATGTTCCCCTAATACTTCCCAAAGCCACAGTACCTAGAGAACAAATATGTTTCACTTGAAAGCTACAAATGACTTTGGGGGGGGGGAGTGTTTAGGGTTCCCTATTCTTCGGAAGAGAGACACAAAGGCAGACTACAATTTAAAATCACCTTCATACTTTCTTAATTAACTATTTAAATTATTTCAGTTTGTTTTACAACAATATATTTTCCAACTAGTAATACCCCATTTCAACTTGCAGTCTGGAAACATGATCATACTTGCCGGAATCTTGAGGCCCAAGGTTCATTTTCTATAGTGAATATGCTCAAGCTGAAGGTTGGGACCTCAAGAACCCTAAAATGAGCTATCCTAATGTTGGTGACCGACTCGATTGGAACATGATATGGAAGGCAAAACTTGCTCCCAAGAGTAAATTTTTGCCATGGGAATGCATGCATGAAACCTTTCCAACGAAAACCTTTCTTCTTAAACGAGGCATGAACATGGAGGACACATGTCCCCTTTGCAATGAGCATAGGGAAATGATAATCCATATCTTAAAAGACTGTAAGGTGGTGGAACACTGGCGGCGGCGTAAGGTCTGACCTATCAGCCACGTAATTGAATTATTATGTCCTAGTTGGAGCCATGCATAAAGCTTTTGAATTCCATGCTTTGTTGACACCACCCAAATTTATTCCTCCAGACAGGTTATAAACATAACAGTTAAGTGGATCCCATCCCCCATGGGTGGCTAAAGCTCAACACAGATGGGTCTGCCATCGGCAAGCGTTGCATGATGGTCTAGTTTTAGCAGAAAATGCTTATCGGCTGCATTTCAAATAATCAGATCACTGACCTTGTGTTTTCAATTAACCATTCTTTTTTTCCTAGTTATAATGGTTTGGGTTTAGCTCTTACTAATGTTTATTATATATAGTAGTAACATACAAGATCCCATTCTTCTTGAAATATTTCCAAAAAATTGCTTTTATCAGCCTTCATCGTCGCTTTGTCAACCTCCAGTGATCATTCTTCTCATCGTCGCTTTGTCAACGTAATAATAGGTATCTGCTTCATTTTCCATTTTCATCGCTTTTTCTGCTGTTTATATCCATCCTTTTCTGTATATGTAATCAAGAGTTAATCTTTCAATCTTCAAACCATAGTCCCATCAAAAGAATTTATCGGTGAATCCTTTTCTTTGAGTAGCGCAGTCTAACCATCTTTCCTATTGATCGTTGAATTATCTGTTTTCTCTTTGTTTTCGTGCTCCATTCGGGTTACAATATTTGAAGCAAAAGAAAAAGGTAGATTGGAACAGTGACGGAGCTATATGCTTTTCAGGTGAGCACCCCACCCTAAATTTAAAATTAGTTTATTAACTATTCAATTTATAAATGTACACCTACTCTAAAATTAATTTATGCCAACCTTAAATTTTTTTGTGCCCACATATTAATACCCAAATTTTGGTTAGTAGCCAAAATATATGTTCTGAAAGTTTGGTGGCTAAAGTATAAATTTTGTAAAAATTTATGGACAAAAAATATAATTTTAAAAAGTTATATATTTTTGCCCATAAATAAACAGTTTGACTGAAAACAATAATTTTCGTGATAATCAGATTTTCAGTACGAGATTTGTATAAAAAAACTATAAAGCGATGAAGTTTAGTATAGAAATTGGATAACCAGATTAAATCAAAATTTTATGAAAATTTGAAGGATGCTAGATAATTGTTGGAAATATTGTTTCCATATTTTAGATCAGAGGAAATTAGCACATACCAATGTAATTTTTCATATTTGGGCCGAACAATTGAAAATTAGTGACTAAAATATAATTTTTGAAAATTGCATGACCAAAGTAGAAAATCAAAGCCAAATTAATTCATCTTTGACTAAAGAATATTTTAATGGAAGATATTACCATGGTATATGAAAATCATCATAATTCGTTAATGGCAAAATTGTAAACTATAATTAAATAAATTTTAAATTCATTTATATTAAGCCATGTGTTATGATAATTAAGTTGGAAAATTCAAGAAAAAATTGTCATCTTCAAGCTCCAAACCGTGAGTTCCATAGTAGGTAAGAAAAAAATTTATTTTTCATTTTTAAGCTTACATGATTGATTTTTGGACTAAGTTGTGAAATAGAGAATTAATCTACATGAAATTCTCTATCATTTGGTATAAATATATTACATGATGAACAAGCTTATATGTTGAGATTGAAAATTAGGGTTTATGTAGGGTTTGTTAATTTTGGATTTGATGAAGGATTATCATGTTTTTTTTTATGTTGGAGATTAGTTCTAAGTCTTGTGTGATGATTAAAATTATGTGTAAAGCCTTGTATTGAATTCGACCAAATTAGGTTTTAAGGGATGATTGGATTTTGATTTATTTTGATGTTGTGATGGTTAGAATAACATAAATTTGAAGTAAGGAAGTTGAATTCATGCTTTAAATTGAAAGGAAATCAAGCCCTAAAGGACTTATAGTATTCGTCCATAGGGGAATAATTTGGGGAAAATGTTGAAAATTTTCCTATGGTTTAGAATTGATATTAGAAGTGTTCTATGTGATTTGGAGATCAATTATGAATCAATTTAGAAGTCTGAGATATAAAATGGGCTAATTTACAAGTTTTGATAATTGTGGAACATTATTGTAGAAATGTGATAATTGGGGTATTCGATGTTAAATTTTAATATTGAAATGTTGGAATTTTAAGTTAGAAAGTTGATTGGAACCAAATTATAAATTTGGTAAATTTTCATGGTGGAATTTGAACAGTCCTACAAATTAGGGGAGTTGTTTGTAAATTTGAAATATGTTGGTATCATTTTTGAACAAGAAACTATAATGTTGGAAATGCTATAAGCGTGCTGATTTTTTTAGTTAAATATTAAGTTGGGGTGCTGAATATAAGATGAAAGTGCAAGTTTTTGAAGGTTAAGGTGCTGAATTGTGTAACACCCTAAACCAATTCGACACACAGTCGACCGATCAGAATGCTACACAAAAGCACCGGAGTGGCTAACCAAAATTTTTCTTTTTAGCTTCTCCATTTTAAACGATCTTTGTAAATATTCATGCTAAAATAAATCAACAACAATTTAAATAAAATAGTTTACATTAGGTGCTCCCAAAAATTAGTAATTCAAATCATACAGACCATTGTCAAAATAAGTTACGACTCATATATACAAATATACAAAAGTTTCACAAGCATACATACCCACTAAGAAGATGATCTGAGACGTACTCTGCACTACATGGGTCAGGGTCACTGCTATAAAAAAGGTCCCTTGACTTCTCCTCGACTAACCTACGTAAGGAAACAAATTCCAAAAGCTGGGCTAACTAGCCCGATGCACACAAACAACTAAATCATACTACAAGTGTTCATGTCATGCTCAAGCTAATTGATTAACTGAAATAGTAAGTATACTCGTATACTGCACTCTCTACTATATCGTAGACATCATAGTGAGGTTGAGGGTTCTGCATCCCGGAGCTAACACAACCCTTTAGTCTACCGAGGCTAGTTACCCAAAATTTATGTATTGGTCAACCCCTTCGACTAGCCCACTCCTTGAGTGTGGGACTTTACGCCCAAGCTAGTTAGCTTTAAGTGCCTCGTGCACTACCTAAGGATATATCTGGATTGCATCTATACTTTTGATAATGCTAGCATTTTCTAAAGGAATCTCAGGTGTCCTGGTTGTTTCCTGAGCATCAATCAAGGCTAGTTTCATGTCACCCTAATTGATCTTGTTTCTAAATGTAATTAACATCATTAATATTTCCACTTGTAGTCTTATTTGATAATATAATGAAGTGTTGGGATACCTCGAGTCTAAATCCCTTAAAATTGACTTTTTGGCCCAAAACAAACTATTGGTATCGATACTTGCCCTTTAGTATCAATACGATTGACAAAGTTTCGATACTCTATTGAAGTACCGAAACTTTAAAAGCTTCTAAAAATGGGTCTCAATACCATGTCTGGGAGTCTTGAGACTGTGCCCTTAGTATTGATACTTTTGAAAGTATTTGTCGACAGTCATTTTCGTCCGAGTTTTATAAGTATATTATTATTATTTCTTATTACAATTTTGGTTCCAGGCCCAAATGCAAGACCCAATTACAACCCGAAGGCCCAAATACAAAATAAATTACAACATGAAGCCCGATTACAATCAAATCCCAATAGACCCAGACCCGGTTTGGGCCCAGATCCGACCCAAGCAGCCTAACAGGCCTGAGGAATAGACCCAAGTTTGTTTAGGGTTTCACATATGTTCCAGCGCTGTAATAAATCATCATCGTTGGATTTGGAGAAATCCAACGACTCTAAACATGACCAGCAAGAACCCTAGGGTTCTCATTACACCCTAGGGCTATTCCGACCACCTCCTCTAAGTGCTCCAACCAAAGAAAGCCACGCTGTCACCGCCTTTCCAGAACCCAACAGAGCTCTCCCGAATGATCCATAAGGTGTAGCAGAGTCGCACAACTCACTGGTTTATGGCGAGTCACCACCGTAGGTTCGACAACTCACTGAAAAAGTCATCATCACAGATGGCTCACCGAGGCCTATATAAGGCAGATCTTGCAATAGAAGTAAAAAAGCAACGAGAGACCACAAAGCTAGAAACGTAGAGAGATACATTATACACCAACATCAACAAAATCAAAGGAAAAAGTAAGGGAGATTTACCGAGTGCTATCGGAGCATCCACACGTCTCCACGCGCAGCTGAGGAATCGAAATACCGAAGGTTTTTCTTTCAGATCTACGAATTTCTAGGTCTTTTTAGAGGAAACAGAGGCTGAATTTGGCTTTAGGGAATTCGGATCTATAACTTTGGGTGATTTGGTATTTTTCGGCCACTGTAGATGCTGGTCGACGGTGGCTGACAACGCCGACGAATGGTTGCCGGTCGGTGACCAATCTCACCACATTAAAAGATTGGTGGCGACTCTACAATTTATTGTTTTATCTGAGTCAAAGAAGATAAACACTTACTTTTTCGAGACTAGTTACACTTAGGTGTACTATTTGCACTTTCCGTCACCGGGTAGAGAAACCTCTTGATAGTATTGATACTCTTGCCCAGAAAAACATGAATTTGCCCATAAATGAATGACATGTTTTGATACTGACCTTCCAGTATCGAGACTCGACTTGTAAAAAGCATAAATCAAGTACGAAAAATCTTATTCTTTTATCCTCAAAGACCTTAGTGAGGTCCTCAAACATTATTAAAGTTTTATTTGGCCAATAAGGGTTATAATAGAGGCTTTAAACATATTTATAGCTCCAAATAATGAAAAATACCATGTACATGCTTATCATGCTCACTTCAATCATTATACCATCTCACTCTTCTAATGACTCACCAATAGTATAGAAGGGTTGTGAATGTGTTACCTTGCTTATTGGATGGCTAGAACTCTCCTCAACTCAACCAAGACTAAGTTTTTCCTTTCCTTTAGTTCTTGAGCTTTCTCCTATCTCCTTCACTAAACAAAGGTAAGAATATGAATTACTAATCCAACTAGCTTCTTGAATTGAAGTTAAGATATAATATATAATTTGAATCCACTAAGACAAACTAGAACCATGAACTCTCCCAAAAACTTCTCAAAACCCATTTTTGTTTCTATGACTAAAACTAATGAAATGGAGCTTAAAACAAAGCTTGAATGATGGATGGAATTATTCTTACCTTGGTTAAACAATACTACACTTGAAACTCTTATAATCTCACTTGGAATGAAGATGAAAGAAATAAGATATAGAAGGAAGAAGAAGATTATTTGGTGAGAAGATAAAGGGAGTGGTTCACATATAATCATAATATAAAGGGAGAGTTTTCAACTTTCAAAACATCAAGGGAATAATTACACCTTTAATCCCTCAACTTTTCACAACATAAAACACTCATCCCATACATCAATTCTCAAGGGCCTTAACTCAATCCCACTAACAAAAACTTGGTCCATTATTTTTAAGGTCCATTTGGGCCTCAAACTTTGGGTCTCTATCTACCCGAACTACTAACTCGAGGTTCAGGGCGTTACAACTCTCCCCTCCTAATAAGAAATTTTGTCCTTTAAATTTACTTGGGTAGAAAATATGCAGATACTGGAGCTTCATATCTTCCTCGATCTCCTAAGTAGCTTCCTCAACCCTATGATTCTTCCAAAGTACTTTTACTAAGAGAATCTTCTTGTTCCTCAGCTCATTCACTTCCTTGGCTAGAATTCTGATAGGTTCCTCCTCATAAGTTATGTCAAGGCTCAACTCAACTTGTCTAAGGGTAGGACATGCGATGGGTTGGAACTATATATTTGAAGCATGGACACATGAAACACATTATGAATACGCTCCAACTTTGGGGGAAAGGCTAAATGACATGCTACCAGTATGATTCTTTCAAGCACCTCACAGGGACCAATGAAACGCATGGTTAACTTTCTTTTGCGTCCAAATCGAAGTACCTTCTTCCACGGGGACACCTTAGGAATACCATGTCTCCCACTTCGAATTCATTTTCTTTGTATTTCAAATCCACATATGATCTCTACCTATCTGAAGCCTTCTTAAGTCTACTAAATCAGTCTGACATTTTCTTCAGTTTGTCGAATCAATCCTGGTCCTACTATTTTCCCTTCACTCAGCTCAGTTTAACAAAGATGAGTTCTACACTTACGTCCATACAAAGCTTCGTACGGGGCCATCTGGATGCTCGACTGATAACTATTATTATAAGCAAACTCCACTAAAGGCATATGATATTTCCAACTACCCTCAAAATCAAAATGAAGCTCCTCAAGTTATCCTCAAGAACTTGAATAACACGTTATGATTAGTCGTTTGTCTGAGGGTGAAACACTATACTAAAATGGAGTTTGGTACCTAGGGAATAATGAAGGGCTTTCTAAAACCGAAAAGTGAATTTGGGGTCTCTATCTAGATGATTGAAGTCAGGACTCCATGCAACCTCACTATCTTGTGGATGTAAAGTTGTTGACAAACTTAAATATTAAACGCTATGGTCGATTAATAATTATTTTTCGTTAACGATAGATGATTTTACATAATTACATCTCCACATATTTTTATTTTTTATAAACCACCAGTATTTGATTTCAAATCCAATATTACATAAGCATGGGTGACTCTCCCAACCCAATTTGTTAGGTGTCTCATCTCGTTAAATCATCTAGTTGTTGGTTTAACATGTTATTTTTAATAAATTAATATAATATGTGGCTTTCAAGATGATCAAACCTGGGACCTTCAGGGAAAGAGTGCAATGCCTAGCCACTGTGCTAAGAAAGAATTATATGTTGTGACAAAAAATAATATTTATGTAAAACTATTGTTGGAATTAATTTTAATTAATATATATAATATTAATTATTATTATTATAAATTAAGTAAATTTTATATGATTTCTCATATAAAATACGTTTGTGGAAGATAAATATAAAAAATAATTAGGTTTGTTTTAAAATATAATCAAATAAATATCAATATTTAAATCTAAAATAATATACCAAGTGTTCTTAAATTATATTTAGAAAATAAAATAAAAATATTTGACAATGTATTAACCCCTTGTAGTGAAATTCCTAAATTTTAAAAAATACTAATAATTAATTGGTGTTTACAAAATTCACCTATATCTCCATAAAGATCATAAATTACATATAAAAATTAATCAATTATTTTGAAGAAAAAACTAATCATAATTGAAGATTAAATGACACTCTTGAAAACATTTTGATGTTTCGATATAACAAATAAGTACAGTTGAATTTTAAGATTTTATTCGATTTAAAATTATATATTATAGTAAATTATTCGAATATAAAAAATATTACTCCAAGTTTTTCAAATGTCAATTTTAATCCTTACTTAGGTTTAAAATTGTGTTTTAGTCTTAAAATATTTTTTAATCAATTTTTGCAAAGTATTCCGAACCTTAATCGGGCCAAAAACAAATTTTGCAAAGGAGGTACCGATACACTCTTGGATGTATCGATACACCCCCAACATCAAATGCATTTTGTGTATCGATACACTGGCTGATGTACCGATACACCCCTGGCTCTGAGAAAAATCGAATGTAATTAGTGTACCGATATACCCCAAGTGTACTGATACACTAGGTCAACCAACGGTCGAAATATTTGAATTTTACACTGAGTGTACCGATACACCTACGCTCCCAACAGATTTTTTTTAAATGGTTTTCACACCATAACAGATCTATTGACTTCACCAATGATCCCCAATATTCAGAATCAATTGAAGGTGTATTTAAACAAGCTGATGAGCCATTGATCAATAACAGAAACAACACTTGTGAGAGAAACAAAGAGAAAGCCTTAAACATCAAGTTTGAGCAATTCAAGCCTATTTTCATTCAATATTCTTTTTTCTTTCAAGAACACCATTTATACCCAATTGTATTCATTCTTGAGTGTTATTTCTTTATTCTAGAATTGTGCAAACAACTTGTCTTGTGAGGTTTTTTTGTAAGTTTGCAAAATTTGTAATCTTCTCTTTGGGAGAGAGTGTTCTCAAGAATTTGGGGTATAATTCTTGAGGGAGTTATAAGGTTACTCTTTGTCCTCAAAAGAAAGAAAAAATTAGTGAATTTATTGGAAAATCCTTAGTGTGAATAGCTAAGGTAGTGGACGTAGACTTTGGTTGCGAAACTCGAACCACTCTAAATCACAGTGCAAATATTTTTTATTTTCTGCAAAAGCTTCCACCAAAATTTTTATTGCCAATTCACCACCTCTTGGTTATTTCTTCTATCGATTAACTCAACAATTGGTATCAGAGCCTCACTCATTTGAAGGTTTAACCACCTCTTGAATTGATTCAGGAAGAGTTATATCGATAGTCAAGTCATCAATGACCTCCACTTCAAACTTCGACTTCATTCTTGATTCTCAGCCCGTCAACAAGCCTCTTTTCTTAATGGAGCTAATTATGCTTATTGGAAGAATAGAATGAGGTTCTTTTTCATTCAAGCAAGTGAAATGGGAGTATGGAAAATTATGGAGAACAGATATATCATACCATCCACTCATTCAAATTTGTGGAGTGAAGAAGAGACGAAGATGTTCCAGCTCAACTCAAAGGTTATCCATATTCTATTTTGTGCTCTTGGATCAGATGAATACTGTAACACCCCTAACTCATATTCGACTTGAATACAAGTCCAAGATGTCACATTGACTTTTCAAACTTTGATTCTTAAAGAAAAATCCCAGGAATTTAAAACTTTCATTAAAACAAAATACTTTAATTTACATAAAAGATACCACTTAATACAAAATCGATCAGAACATTCGTAATTAACCACTTATTACATACCAACACTTTATACACAACAAAATACCTACTTTTTCAATTACTTCTGATCTGATTTCTTAGTAATGTTGTTGTTCGTGCCACTGCTATTCTAAATCTTCTTATTTCTTGGTACCAACGTGTAAATACTTACACGCTAAGTCATAGACTTAGTGAGACAATAAATGAATATGCAACAATATCTTCATGAATATGCATTCTTACCACTTAATACAAAATCGATCAGAGCATTCGTAATTAACCACTTATTACATACCAACACTTTATACACAACAAAATACCTACTTTTTCAATTACTTCTGATCTGATTTCTTAGTAATGTTGTTATCCGTGCCACTGCTATTATGAATCTTCTTATTTCTTGGTACCAACGTGTAAATCACTTACACGCTAAGTCATAGACTTAGTGAGACAATAAATGAATATGCAACAATATCTTCATGAATATGCATTCTTACCATTTCCTTCATGACATTTTAACATGCATGTATCTACTACACAATAACATATATAATCATATCATGCATGTATAAAACTTACATTCTTGTACCACTTTCACTTTACTTTGTATTTCAATTGCCCATGTATATTATTTAGAATAGAGGTATGTGAGTGCATTGAGGTTGTGCACTAATTCTGTCACCACAACTCGTATCAATTCCCTCATGGGGCACCGAACCTTAGTTCAGTATTCGTCCCGAAGGACTGTCATATATGTCCCGTAGGACCACTACATCCCGAAGGACTACGTCCCGAAAGACTATTATACCCTCGACTCTTGGCATGCCAATTACACTTATAGCTCTCATATCGTATACTATGGGCATTATATGTTCATGTACTCATGTCATTTCTTGTGATCATGTAGCTCATGTCATTTCTCTTGTGATCATGTAGCTCATGTCATGTTCTCATATCACATATCATATCACATGTGTATTTGCATCTATTCATATATATACATCATTTATCCAATCACATGAACATATATATATATGCCTTATGCATGTATTACAATAATTATCATGTATGCATGCTCACAACTATTGTACTATGAAAATCAATATAGAAATTAGACTTATCACAAGTCTTATTCCATTATACTATACATATAGTATGCACTCACTTTAGCTTTGCTTTGATTCGATTCTAATCCTTTGATCATTCCGGAATAAGCTTACTTTTAGTATCTACATAATCACACATGGACCTATATCAGTATTATAGCTAATATACTCTAATGGTTCACTCTTTAGATTAAGATAAATGTCAATTTCCTCTTTTAATGAAGGTATGCATCGATGCACTACTTGTGCATCGGTGCATAAAATGCATTCGATGTTTTATTATTAATGGGATGCATCGATGTATGCCTTATGCATCGATGTACTAATTGCATTCGATCTTTTTATTTTAAAAGAGTGCATCGATGCACTACCTGTGCATCGATGCACTACCTGTGCATCGATACACCTTCAAACACTTTCTGGGTTTTAACCTTGATGCATCGATGCACTATGAATATGCATCGATGCACTCTGCCCAGAATCCTCTTTTTGAACCTGAAAATTCATTCATTTTGGATTAAATCCTTCATGTTTAATCCTCTTTTTTCATTCTTAACTATAGTACACATCCTTAAACCAATTTATACTCATTTATTTCATCTTAAACCTCTAAATTCTATCATTCATATGTAATTTAAGAATTACATCAATAAATCAACATGTTGAATTCCACTTTTAAACACTTCGTATCTTAACTAGATTGATAACAAGTCAAATTTAACTTTCAATTCTAGTTATGAACTCTATTCCAAGATTTCATTTAAGAACTTCAAATCTTAAATCTCTCCTAACTCAATCATCCTTTGATGTTAAGATAACTTAAGCTTTCCTTAAGCTTAATTATCATCTAATAATCAAAACCCATTATTAAATTTAACAAGAAACTCAATAATCATAAATCTTACCTTTGCTTTGGTTCACTCGCACAAGGAAGAAAGAAAAAGAAGAGAACTCTGGAAGTCTTGGGTGTTTTATCCCCTTCCACCCACGTGTATCCTTATATATACATACTTATCCATTCTTTAATTATTTTTCCTTGCAATTACTCTATTGTCCTTTCATTCCTTCTTCCTTTCAATTCCATCCTACACAATAATTTACATGTAAATCTTTATACTATTCATGCATTTTATTTTAATCACCAAATTCTGAGACTTTATAATTTAGTCACTAACCCGGTATTGAGGATGTTACAACTCTCCCCCCTTAAGAAAATTCATCCTCGAATTTTCATTATGCAAAGAGGTAGGGGTACTTAATCCTCATGTCCTCTTCACGTTCTCATGTTGCTTCATCTACTTTGTGATTCCTCCACAAGACTTTAACCAATGGAATAGTCTTGTTCCTTAGTTGCTTGACTTCGTGAGCTAATATTTGAACAGGTTCTTCCTCATAAGTTAAATGTGGTCGAACTTCAATTTCTTCAGGAGTCACAATGTGGGATGGATCAGATCGATATTTCCTAAGCATTGAGACATGAAAGACATTGTGTATCTTTTCTATTTCAGGTGGCAAAATTAGCTGATATGATACTGGTCCTACTCTCTTAGTAATCTCGTAAGGTCCAATGAATCTAGGACTCAACTTTCTTTTCCGTCCAAACCTCAATACTTTCTTCCACGGAGACACTTTCAAGGACACTCTATCTCCGACTTGAAATTCAATTTCTTTCCTTTTTAAACCAGCATATGATTTCTGTCTATCAGCTGCAGCTTTCAGATTATTCTGAATTACTTGAACTTTTTCTTCCGTATTCTGAATCAACTCAGGACCAATAACTTCTCGATCCTTAAGTTCATACCAGTTCAAGGGCGTACGACATCTTCTTCCGTATAGAGCTTCATAGGGAGCCATTTTGATGCTTGACTGATAACTATTGTTGTACGCAAATTCAGCAAGTGGTAAATACCTTTCCCACGATCCTTTGAATTCAATGACACAAGCTCTTAGCATATCCTCCAGAATTTGAATAGTTCGCTTGGATTGACCATCGGTTTGAGGATGAAACGATGTACTGAAGTTCAATCGAGTTCCAGTGCTCCATGTAATGACTTCCAAAACCGTGATGTGAATCTAGGATCTCGATCAGAAACTATGGAAATAGGTACACCATGCAAACATATAATCTCTCTAATATACAGTTTCGCATACTTATCCATGGAGAAATCAGTTCGTATCGGAATAAAATGGGTTGACGTAGTCAATCTATCTACGATCACCCAGATTGAATCCTTTTTGTTCGAGTTAAAGGCAACCCCGTGACAAAATCCATCGTTATGTTTTCCCATTTCCATTGAGGAATTGAAATTGGTTGTAACAATCCTGATGGAACCTGATGCTCAACTTTGACTTGTTGACAAGTCAAACACTTTGATACAAATTTCGTAATGTCTTTCTTCATTCCCGGCCACTAATATCGACTCTTGAGATCCATATACATTTTATTCCCTCCCGGATGCATGTCATGGACAATGAGCTTCTGTTAACAAATCATTCTTTAATTCATCATCATCCGAATTACCAATCTTTCTTGATAATACAAATTCTCATCAGACTTAATCTCATAATCGTACCCTCATTTCTTATTTGTTGGATCTTCTTTAAACACTTTCCATCTTTAGCTTGCAATTCTTTAATTTGATC